AATCTTCATTTGAAATTTGGTTATAAGTTGCGGTGGAACACTCAAAGTTTTTATATTCAAATGCTGTCTCCGAGTCGTTATGATCCATGGCCACAACATTTTTACTAATACGTGGTTTACTCTGATTAAATTCTATTATAGAATCAAGTTCGTCTATCTTTTCTTTTCTTTGTTCTTCGATCTCACATATAATAGAACGAATTAATTCCATATTTAAACCGCCATCAACAGGAGGTTGCTCTTTAAACCATTCAGTTGAAATGATATCTCTGCAATATAAAGGAAGTCTATTTTTGTTGCTGGGCAACAAAATGTACTCTACAAAAACTCTAACTATATCAATTTTATTTTGAGTTTTGACTTTCACTGTTATTGGATTGATGGTTGTTGGTGTGTTGAGTGATGAGTACAAAAAATATATAAATTCAGCAAGAGAAGTTATTTTTTGATCAAAATTCATTTCTTGATACACAAAAACATGTTTACTGTTATGTGCTTTATAAGAAGTTTTTAACATCCAAATTGAATCAAGTAAACAATAGACAAATTCATTTCCATTGAAAGTCGCTAATAAATAACCTGAACGAAACATTGACTCATTTTCTAAAAAGGACAAACGTGGAAAGGAAGACATTCTTTGATCTTGTTTTTATCTCAATAAAAATATTGTTACTTACAAAGCAAACAAAAATGCTTCAAAAACCTATTTTATATTTAAATAATAAATATAACATTATTGGTGTTTTACAGTCTATTGTGTATGTTTATTGATAATAAAAGAAAACTTTTTTGAAAAAATTACAATTATTTATTTAAATTGCATGAAATTTTGATATTTAGTAAGTTTTAAATATAATTTTAGATACAAATTTACAGAAATGGACAAAAGTTACAAAACAATTCAAAATTTGTAATATTTTAGTTAAAATAGTATCAAAAGAATGTTTATTTTTAAAAAAATAGCAAATAGAGTCCGTCTTTTAATGTTGTCCTCTCTTTAAATGTTGTCCCTTTTGCTAAAATACACAAAAACGTATAAATAATTGGGAATTAAATAATAAATCATAAAAACGGTAAAAAACCCCAAAACATTAATTTTCTCGCGTTTAGTAAGTTATCTTGAAATAGTCATGTTATTAAAATCTTAAAATGGAGGGACAACGTTTAGAAAAT